TTTCTGCTTGCTGAGAAATGATCACTTGTGCTTTGCCTTGTCACCAGCTCTTAATCCATCAAAGGCTTGAACATTCACCCCATGGTCACCTGGTTGCCAAACAGCTGTGGGTGCAGCATGTTACGAAAAGCCTTTGAAAATCCAGATCAATTACATTCTAGTGTTCTTTAGCACCCTATTCCATTTTTAAAAGAGAGAAAAAGAACTAGCATTTCAGCTTTGAGCTACAGTGGTGATTTATTCATCCCTTATGTCTCATTTAATTGCTTTGTAATGCATTTTATATTATTTCTTAGTGTATTCCTCTGTATATTGATCAAAGTTTCTCTGGTTAAAAATGCTTTGGATCAAACCAAGCAGAGTGGAACACAATCTTGGGTGTTCTCTGGTCCTTTTGTAAAATACCTTTTCTTTAATAATGCATTACATTTTTCTTTTGTTGGTGGCACCTTGACCTTTGCATTTCAGTTTAGCAAAACTTTAAAGAAAATGCTACAGTACTTTGCAGAATAAAAGTCATAATTTGATCAGAACTCCTGGATAAATGATTTCATGTTCTCAGGATGATGGTACCCATAAGTTTTACTATAACTACCTGAACTCCCATAAAACATGAATTTAACATCATTTATTTTTAAAATAGGCTCCATTTCACATCTTTTACCTCTCCCTCAGATTCAATATGGGTTGTTTTTTTTTGATTACAGCTATGCTTAAATTAATCTTCTTGCTTATACATTTTGTTTCCCTTCATATCACTGCTGAAAAATCCATCTTTCCCACATTTTAGTATTAGGTTTGATAACATCATTGAGCTGCCTTTTCCTAGTGATAAATATCTTTAAAGTTTGCCCTACTCACACTGATAAAACTCTCACAGGCTTATTGCTGAATTGCCAGTAGTGCTGATTTTCAACCTCAGCCCATTCTGATAAAGACAAAATAAAACAAATTGTGTCAAAACAGAAGTCGGAGTGACCTACTTAAAACCAGTGAGTTACAAAGTTACTGGGATATTTTTAAAACATGCTAAAAGCTGAAACTCTAATTTCTGGTGTGAATCAAACGATTTCAAATTTCCAGTGTCCCTCACAGGAGTAACCCAAGTAGTATGGCACTTGCAGGTCCAGGATGGTTTCCAGACAGCCCAGTGCAAACTGGAGCAAAAAAAAACCAAAAAAACAAAACCAAACAATTGCTGGGAAGTTTTCAGTCTTTCCCAGGCAGTTCTGGTCCTACTTGTTCTGCTCTTATCCCTTTCATTTCCCATTCCCTTCCTTTCATCACAACCCTGCAATTTCTAATCCAGTTTTCTCAGCTTAAACCCAACTCTCTTGGCCTTTAAAGAATGCCATGGCTTTTTCTCCTTCCTGAACCTCAAAAATCTTGGAAAATGGGATCTGGTCTCATTGTCTGTTCCTTGATTTCTTTTTTGGGACAATCATTTTCATTTGTTTAGAAGCACAGGCTTCTTGTCTTCAGTTTTTACGTCTTTTGAAGTAACTGCTGAGTACACTTGAGTCTCCTCCTCAGTGAAGGCAATGGGAAAGTCTCAGATGGCCTTGGTCACTCTGGGTACTGAGCAGGATGAGGGATCTCAATATTCAAACACCGATTCTCCTCTGAATCCTCTTCCTTCCCTTTCCTTTTGCCATTATCCGTGCTTTTAACTTTTTCTTTCTTCTCTTTTCCTTTCCACCCTTCTCTCCTTTCCCCTGCCCCCCCCCCCCCCCCCCCCCCCAGACAACTTGTAACAGGATGATTTCACAGCTTTCTACAAATCTGAATGCCAATAAAACATTTAACAGAGGCACCCAAAAAAAACTCAACCAAACAGACAAAAAAAAAAAAAAACAACCAAAGAAACAACATTAAGCCACCTCAAAGCCAACCAATCAACAAAATAAAATTGAACACTGAAGCTCTGGTTTACGAGTAACACCCACTAAAATCTATGAGTTTGGTGTTTGTTCCCAGCGAGCCACATTGACTCTGCGGTTTTATAGATTTCATCTTGGATTTATAAGAAAATCAGCAAGCAAGAGCTAGGTTTTTGGTGTGGTTTTTAAAAGAAAATGAAAGTCCTCTATTTTAAAAGTGTGTTAACCAGTCTGTCACTCCCTAAAATTGCTGCCAGAGAAAAGAATCCAGTCCCTATCAAGTATTTGGCTTTAAAGGCAGTTTGATAGACAGGCACAGGCAACAAAGCACTGAAACAGTAAAAACCCCACCCCATATATTCCAATGGCTGCAAATTAAAACAACAAACTAATAAAACCTGGAGGTGAGACTGGTTATTGAAGCAATGTTTGCAGCTTCTCAGAAACTATGAACATCATTTTCATGAGAGATTAATTTTCTCCCCCCTAAAAAAAGAAAACAAAATAAAACCATTATAAAGGTGCTTGTCTTTCCAAAACACTGTATCCATATTTCTCCACTATGAATCCAACCCAAAACTCACAGACCACAGTGAAATCTCTGGAAACAGAGGCTTAACAGAGGTTTTCCTTTTCTAAGTGGAAAATTAAAAGCAAATAATAATTATAAGAGAAAGGTAATCTGTTTATTTCTTTTCTAAATAAATTTTTTCCCAGCTTCCAAAAGCACTTCATTAAAAATTAAATTAAGGTCAGTTAAAGAAAACCAAACCAAACAAACAAACAAAAAAAGGGAAGGAATAAAGATGAAAACAGTGAGATGTTCAGGACTGTGCTTCTCATAGAGATTTTGATGTGCACATCTGTGGGTGGAACCTGAATCCAAATCAATCCAAATCAATCACTGCCATCACTCCGAGTGGAATATGTTATCATATTCCATTTGATAACATCTGGGCAGGAACTCGAGGTGAGGAACTGAAAGGATAGTGAAATAAATGCATGGATTCATAGGTACCCAGATCATGGAGTCACTGAGGTTGGAAAATACCTCTCAGACCACCCAGTCCAACCACTCCCCCAGCACCACTGTGCTCACCACTGTACCCTGTCCCCAGGCGCCACAGCCACAGGGCTTTGGAACACTTCCAAGGATGGTGATTCCAGAATGGCACAGGGAGACTAAATTCCATTTTAATCACTTTATTCTAAGACACAGTTAATTCTACTTCTTTTAATCATACAGAAATCATAATCAATGCCTTTGTAAATGGCCTGAAAAGCTGCAGATAGAAATTGTGCTCCAATATTAATGATTCACATTCACAACTGGCAGCAACTGTTTAAGCTTCATCAGCTTCATTGAATTTGGGCCCACTCTGTTCCCTGAACTACTGCTACACAATTTGTACATGATATAAAGTTCTTAATATTGTAAACACAATATTTTCAATTTTTTTTAATACTCACAAGTTTATTTACACTTTATAAAATAAAAAAATAAGTAAGAAACTTTGACTTGGAGGAACAGGGACTTGTTCTTAACTATTTAATCCCACCATTAACACACTGATATTGTCAAGATGCACTCAGTTCAGAATTTATAGCACTTAGTTATAATTCAAATTATATCAAAAATTGAGTTGAATATGGAATATAAGTATTTTCTGTGCATATTACTGATTTATAAAATGGCACTTTATACCTGCCCGTTAAAAATTTTAATAAGAAAATGTATAGAATGTTGGGTCACAAATTTTAGCTCAATATAAAGCTCAAACATACATTTTGTTTTGTTTAATAAAGAAATCTTAATGGTAGGAAGAATTCTTCATAGCCCCTCCTTGACCAAAAGAAAGCTTTAACAGAAGAGTGCAACAAAATATTTTTCCACATCAAACTGGGAAGATTATTTTCCTTCAGTGAATTCATAAAACTAGCTCATAAACTTTTAAAAAGGAGCAAAATTTACAGTACTTATTCCACTGATCTCTTGCTGGGTAGTAAAAATAGGGTGACATTAAACTAGGGGCTACAATACCACGAGTAATATTTAATCATCTCCAAATCAGTTTTAGCTTATTTTGTTGATTCCTGTTCTCAGAGTGAGCACAGATACTGCAGAGCTAGAACATTTTTGCTTTTCCATCTCACAGGGCAATTCCTGGGTTTTTGGTCCAAAAGCCACATTTGATGTGTCCTGAACTGGTGCAATATTCATTTGTTTCTTCTAAAATAATCTTGATGGTTTTAACCTCAGATGAACAAGTGCAACGAGGCAGGGGAGGATCAGCTCACTTCCAGACACCCACAATTCATGCACCTCCATCCTCCCAGGGCACCTGATCAGTGTGTGGAGACCCAGCCTGTGAAGTCAATGAAATTTGGAGCATGATTCACCCAAAACCACACAAATCCACTGTTTTCAGATGAGAGCACTTGGCAGCACTGCCTGCCCTGAATTACTGAGAGCACTGATATAAAGGGCTTTAAAATGACCAGCACAGACCTCATCACCTACACTGAGATGAATCCAATCCCTGCTCTGGCAAGGCAAAAAAGAGACTGGAAAAAAAAAATATAATATTTCTTCTCACTCTATCAATCTTGCCAACTTTTCTACTTTTATATAATCTATGTATTTTTATACAATCTAGCAGACTTTTGTATTTTTTCAATCAGGTGGTGCATTTTCAGTTGCTTATATGTATTTTTCAATGAAAAGTTGTTTTGTTTAGCAACTCTTCAGTCATCAGCAAGTATATTCACATGCGTAGACCAAAGAGCAATGTTTGCAGTGATTTTCTGGAGATGTATAATACATAATCAATCAACTCAGAAGAAAAGGCTGCGTATTATTTATTCAAATCATAGAAACTTTGATGTAGTGGCCTAGTCTTGATGTGTTACTGAATTTCTTCTCTTATATGGCTCCTGTCAGTATCACTTCTATAACAGCACTGAGTAGAGAATGAAAAACACACTTCCAGCCATGAATTTATTTGTTTGTACCTTGTTTTCAAGATTTCCCTCAGAGTCACAGATCTCAGAGAACCAAGTGAAAGTTTCAAATGACTAAAGAGAATTGCAACAATTCTTTCAGCGTTTCACCAAACTCACCAGTTTCAGAGAGCAGTTTGGTAGCTTCCAGCACCTTCTCAGTGTACACCCCAGTCTCATAGTTCTCCATCTCTGCGTTGATGATGTGGATGACCCTGGCTGCGCGGCCCCGGATGGCACCCGCCGTCCTGTCCAGCGTGTCCACGTCCCCCTCTTGCAGGGCAATCACACACTTGTTCACATCTTCCAGGATGTGGTTTTCTGGAATTCGGGTTAAAAATACGCCTGGTTCAACTGCACTCTCCCTCACAGCAAAGCTTACTCATTTGGGCAAATGTCAGTATATTAAAAAATGGATATCTACCTTTATCCAAGCTGTAAAACAAAAGCCCTTCTGTGATATTGTCACATAACAGTAAAAATCTGTGTGATATTTATCTTTAGTAGGGACTGGGCCACATCATCTTACCCATCTTACCTCTGCTGTGTGTCCCAACCTTTAATTCCTTGAAAGCCAGTAACATTAATTTTAAACATCACACTGAATTTTATCATAATGGAACTGTAATTAAAATGAATGCAAAAGAGAAAGCAGTCAAATATTTTGTAGATTCTATAATAAACAGCTGGGCAATTTTCTGAAGGTGAATTTACACTCTCCCATAAATGTTGATTACATTTGGCTCATTTTTGCCTAAGTAAGTCAGAAAAAAAAAAAATCACATTGAAAAGACAACACCAAATGGCCTTTGTAGATAGCACAAAACCTGGGCATGAGCAGCTCATCTCCCTCACTCCATCTATGCCAGCGAATAAGCTGGAAATTTCTAATAACACACCCTTATAATTATGTGTGACTTTGCATAATCTGAAGAAAGAGATGACAACAGTGACTCTGCTCACAGGAGGTGATATCAAGCACCTTAATTGGATTCTTGAGAGATGCATTGTTATTTTTCTGTCTCTGGATCAGGCCATCTACTATCATGTGCTGCAGTATCAGAATTTATGTAGTATTCTCACATACAAATTATGTGAAAGCATGAAGACTCTGACTAGGTCAGGCATTATTCTCTGCAGTCAGTAGAGTCAAAAATAATTTTAGTAAGACCAAGACTGAATTTCATATTTGACCAAACAGTCTGAGAAACTCAGTGACTCTAAACAGCAGCTTGATTTTCTGCTAGAGACACCTCTGAACCAAAAAGGAAATGCTGTTCTTTGTAGTAGTAGTAAAACAGAATTAATCAGTTCACCAACTGTTTTTTGTTAATTATCCTTTGCCACTAGAAAGAATGATTCACTAATCTTCACAGGTAAAAATTCTGAGGTTAGATCATTTGAGGGTTTCAGAAATGTTTTACATGATGTCGAATTTTACACTGCAACAACTTTGGATGCAAACTGAAAGTCCCCTGAGCTGTGAATCTGAGTAACTTGCAAGGCAAAATTCTTTGTTTAAAACACTCCCTACACAGAACGAAAAAGAAGTGTTTGATTAAAATTTTTCTTTGCTGTTTCCATTTCACCATCACCAATTTGCTTTTATCATGGCACAAACAAATTCTGCCCAACAAGAAGCGAATTTGGACAGTGCATTTGGAATATGAAACAACTTCTTAAAATTATGGTCAGCTCTCTTCTGGTAGGAACCATACTATTAAAACATATCATCAAATGTGACAGTCAATATGAAGAGGAGGAGGTGTCATTTTAGGAGGTACATTTAACCAGATAGTGGTACTTTGAATGCTTCACTGGTTTAACATCCAAAAATAAAAATACTCTGTGTAAGCTGAGGCTTCCAAGCTTTAGAGCAAGAGCAACAGGATTTCTGTTTCCTCATGTTTAACAGAGATGTCCATGCAAAGAATTAGGAAAAAGGAATCTAAGCTTTACAAAAATAATACTTCTCAGCTGCCTAGGAAAGTTTGTATTTAAGTCAACTCTGTTTGAAGGAATTAAGATTTGAGAAAAAGAAATTAAAAGCTCATCATCCATTTAAATTATTTCTGGTTTATGGACACAAGCACTTGGAGTAAGCAAAGTCCTCAAACAAAGAAGAAAATGGCCATTTGAGCCAGATTTCCAGCATTTGCACGTGAACTGGGTCTGCAGTTTACAGCCTGATCATCCCTTTCTCTTAGAACTAGTTCTGCCAGAGTGTTTGTCAACTTCAAATCTCAAATAAAAATCAATGTGCTCCCATATTCTGAAGTATCCTACTATTCAGAGAGCTCATTTTCATTTCCTTGCAATGGCTTGCAGGAAACACTTGCAGGGCTGTTGGACAGAGGAGTGTAATTAACTAAACCAAATAATTTCCCTGTTAATAAGGGTAACAGGATACAACCAAGCAAGATAAAGAGTGCAAAAAAAGAAAATAAGGGATTTTTTTTTAATGATAATTTCTTTTTCTTTCAATGTTTTTTTTCCTCATAAACTTCTTTTGGAAAATTTAAGAAATACCAAGGAAAATAATGTAGAACAAAACAACAATTTGGCCAGACTGTCTCATGAAGTTTGGCTCTTCTGAGATATTCGAGTAAGCAATGTCCTCTTGGCACACTCTATGTCCTTACTCACAACACTGAAACTCACCCTTCAAAGCAAAATAGGAAATTGAGTTTTCCGCAGCAGAAATTAACTCAAGCCATGCACCACTTTGTAACTACAGCATTCCCTGGTCAAATTATTCCATGATCAAATTATTACAATCCACTCTGCCACAAGTTGTAGCACTTTACCAGGAGGATGGAGGAAAGACTGTGGGTCAGTGTCCTTCTCTTCTCCATCACTTCTTTACCCTCCCCACCCAAATCATCCTGTTGTTCTGCAAAGTCCACCTTTCCTCCTCTTTCCCCCCACAATTACACAAGGATTCCAAAAATTTCTACAAATACTCTCAGCCTGTAACAGGTCTGGAACTCATTTTTAGAAGGTGAGCAAAATCCTACTTTGTGCCTGAGTTGAAACAAAGCTTCTCCAGGAATAGAAGCACAAATAGGTGCTATTTTCTGGGAGGTGAGGAGCCAACCATTGCTACCAGGGATTAATTAACACAGTGTAGTTCATCCTACTGAGTACAGAAGATCAGCATTCCAATACACACAGACTAATGGATTAATGATGCTATAGTAATTACAGCTTTTATCTGCTCTGACCCAATACTTTAATTCAGCAGTATATTTTTGGAAAAGTCTCTTGACCCCAGTACCTGAAACAGAGAGGAAATCATCCACTGAAGTGATGTCGTCGACAGCCTCAGTGAGAACTCGCACCTGTTTCTCCCACTGGTCCTTGAACACATCCATGTTGTCCTGGGCTACTTTGCTCTGGGGTCTGGCAGCCAACGTGAGTGCAGCATTAATTACCTGTTAATCAAAGCCATTTGTTAGAGGAGGAATGGCTCTTTTTTTTATTTTTGTATTTTTTTTTCAAGGGAAAAAGCAAATAGATTAATGACTGTGTTAAAAACACAGCATACAACCCATTTGATATGAAGGGTCTCAAGACAGGGATGTATTTTTCACAGTTCATGGAAATCAGGCAACAATCTCATGACAAAGACAAAGCTATGCTCTTCTTCTAATGCTTTGAAGTGCTAAAAGACTTCTCAAGTGGATTTTACCAGGAATCTTCACTCACCTGTGGGCACAGACTGTCAATCTGTGTGGCTGCCATACGGACTAACTTCACACCTTCCTCATTATTGGAGATTGAACAGGCCAGATTTGCAACCTGCAATGAAAGCATGAAATCATCAGGATGAGAATCAAGTTTTAGTCAAGTGGGCCATTTTATACCTTCCTTTGTTCTTATTATGCTTTGCCTGAAATGAAAGAGTTTTTTACAAGAGGAATAATACATCTTCTGTGCTGGTGAACAGAAGCCCATGTAGATTATTTCCCTACTAGCAAACTGATCTACCCATCTTTAGATTTTTCTCAGAATCTTCTTTCACTGTAAAGTGTTTCCCATCCTCCTCTATAGCTTGAAAATTATCTGCTGAGAAGACATGTAAGGAATTCAGAACATTCAGATATCTGTACGTTTCCTCTTCTCAGCTTCTTTTTCCTCTTATGAACTATTTTCATTATTAATACAGGCAATCAGGCTCATGTATACATGCTCAACTTGGCAAAAAGAAGGGTTTTTGATGTCCTAACACATAGAATCATCTCTCAAATATCTTCATTGTTTCTGATGGTTTTGTGCATATTAAAATAATTTTATTTTTCATGTGGACTTCTTTATTTCTATGTGCTTATCTGCCCCACAGTGAAACATCCATTAGTAACAGTAAAGTAACTTAGAGATGTGAAATAACTCTGTTGAAACCTTTTCTGTAATATACATCTGAAGATCTCATTCAAAGATCTTTAAATCCACATTTACTTGCCCTGGCACAGCTTCGGGAAGTCTGAGCCTTTATAACTGAAGGCTATTTGGATAAGATAAAGACTTGGAGAGACATCTGAATGAGATCTAGAAATCAGACCACGTCTCCAGACACAGCAGAGCTGCATCTCTGTGGCTTGGATTCAAGTGGAGGAGCATGTTCTTCCAGCTCAGACAGCTCCTCCAAAAAACCCACTCCCAAAAGCTTTGTGCCAACTCCATTAATCTGCCCTGGGTTTTTCAAACAGCAATTCATGTCCCAGTGCACGCTGTGATATTTAAATCACTAAGGTACATTTTGGGATGGGGGAACACAGGATATTTTTTAATCATCCAAAATTATGGCACTTCATTCTAATCTTCATTAAAACAAACTTATAAAATATTAAATATGCTTCCTTGATATTATTCACTGTGCCTGAAGGCATAGCTATCAGCTGGAAATGATTCATGAATTAGTTCAAATGCCCCCATCTTCCCAATTTTCCTCCAGTCTCCCCTTGTGGTATTAATCTGTTCTCATCTGCAGTGCACATCCCTGCCTTAGCCCTGATCCATCTGTTCTGCATGGAACCTATTTCACTTCTATTTCTGTGCAGCATGGTTTGCATAAATCAGAGTGCCAAAGCCCAGGCAAGAAAAGAACCCAAGGCTTCAAAGAGTCTTGCAGGCATTTCCTAGTCAAGATTTTATCAGAATGTTCTGATTTTTATTTTCATTTCATGATGAGACAAATGAGTTGGTCTGTTTGTTAACAGCCTTACAGCCCTCATGTCAAAAACATTCTCCTGAGATGACATCTTCCAATTAATTTACCATTTTCTGCAGTCACTTCTTTGCACACATCAAACAAAACCCTTTCATCTTCACCAGAAACAACAGCTAAGCAGGATAATATTTAGAATTCATTAACAGGAGTGGAATTTACAGACTTTAAGAACTAGTAAACGATATTAAGTTTAGCAAGAGCCACCTTCCTGTATTGGAACTAAGTGGCTTTTCAGACTGCCCTTACATTTTGTGATTAACACAATGAGAATTTGTCCCAAGGCTTCAGATGTAACATGTACTTTTTTGCAGATAGAAATATGTGATGAAGGTTGCTGGGTGTCATGAAATGGCCATCATCAAACTATAAAGCAAGTCTTTGAGTTCCTCTGGAATGGAGCAATGCAGATATGAGCAGCAAAAATAAAACTTAGTTCTTCTCTGTGTCTGTTAATTACTCTTTAAAGAGAATCTGATAGACAATATTTGGATGTTGCAAAGTGCTTTGTTTTTCAAGAAAGATACAGACACAACCAGAAAAATATTTTTTTCCCTTTTTTCTAAAATATAGTTCAGTACATTGTTTTGGGTGTTACTATCAACACAAGAGTACAAATGCAATTATTGCTGCATTAAATATATATCAAATAGCACTACAGTTATCTGTTTAAAAGAAATAGGGATACACATCATGTGTAACCCTAAGTTTAATAGTTTCTGTGAGATATTTCAAGCCTTGCATAAATCCAGCCCTGCACCATCAGCAGTCAGGCAGCAATACCATTCCACAATCCAGCAGGGAGTGTGCCAGCCTGCACCACTGCAAGATCTGATTATGTCAAATAAACACACAGATAAGCAATTTCCACAATGGCAGATGCAATCTGGATAAAATTGAATTCAGCACCACAAACCTATGACTTCACCCAAGACTTAATTTTTAAAAGATGCCAAGAAATAGCCTGTACTTGCTCAAGCCTGAATTTCAGTGCATAAGCATGGATCTGTGAAACAACACAAGCTTTAGGTGCTCAGTCACCAGACACCTCACTTCTTAATTACTTTGATTGACTTTGTTACCAAACACACAGTCAAGTCACCATCAATTAATATTCTTGCCACAGCAAGGTCCGCATGTGTGCTCTTACTTGATAGAAACCACAAGGTAACTCCCCTGCTTAAGCTTATTATATATTCAGCAACTTCAGATATTTTTCCTACCTAAAACTATGAATAAAAAAATTAATATACAATTTCCACCCCACTTAGCTGAGATATCTGGATTAGATGCCAAACTGATCCCTTTGGATAATCAATAAAAAAAGGGAGGCCCTTCCATGGGCTGTTCCAGGTGCCAGGGGCCTGCATGGATCCTCCTCTGGTTTATTACAGCTGCTCTGGTGATTGTTGAAAAAGGTATTAGTGAAATAAAAGGTGTTTTACCGGTGCATTATAACTTCTTTGGCAAGGGTGCATTTAATGGAACAAGTTTTGTGAAGAACACAGAGACTTTTGAGGGTGGGAATTTCTTTAATGTGCCACTCCTGGGCTGGATGGAGCAGAGAGTTTGGAAAGGAAAATAAAAAGGTTGTGTATTAGTGCAGCTGCCAATTTACCAGAACTTTGATTTGAAGCCTTTACCTTTGCACTTCAAATGCTCTGTCTCCACCAAAGCATTGAAGGGGAAGTTTCCTGAGAGGCTATGGAAGCAACCAGGTAGTTAATTTATTTTTCTCTTTTTTCACTAAGTTCCTTGAGAACACTGAACTCAATGAGTGCCTAAACAGAATTTAAGATTGTATTGAGATCAATTTGAACTGTCTGAAGAGTATTTATATCAAGGAACACATTTTAAATACCAAAATCAATGAACTGTGAATCATTCTCAAAAATATGTGGAGAACTTAATAACAGTGAAACTGCTGTGTAGATGAACATTATTGTCCAGAATTTCAGGTCTGCTAAGCTGCTCTTTTAGCATCAAAACAATGGCTGAACACCTTAAACCTGTCCTGCAAGAGCACAGAGAGGTAATGAGCAAGAAGATAAACATCAAGCTCCAGTGATGCTGTATCTTTCTGTAATCACCAAATCCAGTGAACCAATCCTAGAACTTGGGGTGTGAAAAAGCAGGAAGCAACTCCTCCATATGAATTTCTATCAGTGGCACTGACAGCCCAAGATGCCTTTCTGCACCTTGCCAGTATCTCTCTTTAATCATGCAAGGAGTTCCATTAGTTTCAGTTATTTAAAATACATACAGGACCAGTTCCTATAAAATTTATCTGTCTGTATTTTTTTTTTTTTTTGTATTTTAGCCTCAGTTTCCTGCTGGATAGCAGATTGGGGTGGGGAATGACTTTGTTTCTAATGCAAATTTTATTAGTCTTTGTGGTGACCTTAGGAGAGAAAAAATTTATTTCTGCCACAAAATTGTACTTCAAACTACAAAAGTAATCAAGGATCTTTCATTTCAATATACTTCATTTTTACACTGATTAAAATCAGGTGTAGCTACCTTTTACTGTGATTTTAAATGAGACTATTTCCATTTTTGACTTGAGCCCTTTGTATTATTAAAGGTAACTATGACTATCAAGATACATTGTGCTCTTCTGACTACCAAAATCCATTGTCTTCAGGTTCAAAATTAAATTCAAAGATTTAACATGGCCATTTGGAATTCAACCTAAGTGAAAAGGTCCGAAAGAAAAATCTATTGCTTAAAGCAAAAATGTAAAAAAGAGAGCAGTATAAGCTGCAGCAGAAGAGCAATAGCAACACAAAAGCTGCAGGATGTCCTATTTCTTAACATTTTCCTTTTATTCTTTTTTTTCTCACCATAAATTGCTTAGAAGAAATGATACTGAAAAGCCTCTGTTCAGCTTCCCCAGTCATTTAGCTATTCAAAGGTAGAGAATGTAATTTAGTTCTATTTTACTTTCTTAGTTTTCCATAATTTTTTGTAAATATGTGATTTCGTCTTAAATATTTCTTTATTTAGATTTTTCTATTTATGTAATTTATGTTTCCACTGTAATTAACTGGTGGAAGTAATAGGAACAAAATAAATTGCAAGAAATTATTCTCTATTTGGGAAAATGCAGAGTAATTTAAACAAACCCAAGACACTGGTAAACTGATGTGTCTGCACCACACATTTGAGAAGCTGAAACTTTTTGAGGAATTCAGCTTGAGTTGAAGGTGGTTTAAGTCAGAGACTTCTGCAGCACTCACAGGGGACTAAAACCAAGCAAATAATCAATTACCGTGTTCAGCTGATGAGACATAACTTGCTGAGCTGTCCTATCTCAACTATTTGTAATTATTTATCCATTCACTTCTTAATTTGTCCAGATATTGCTTCAATCTCTGAATCCTTAAAAATTCTGACATATATTAATGTTGGTACTGCTGTAGGCAGCCCAGTGGTATTCATGGAGCCACAAAAAAGAGATTTTTTTCTAAAGGAGAGCAGAGTTGAAGCCAAGTTACCCAAGATCTTCAACTTATTTCTCCTCGCTGTACTCACTCAAGCATTCCATTATGAGCAAAACTCTATTTATCACTGG